TATGCATTTCACCGGTGGAAAACAAACAAGGAAATCTGAACAGTGACGAGAAAATATTCACTGAAAACATCATCTTTAAGGAGATATTTGCTGTTAATTGATTCCTGCCACACCATCTGGGTGGCGAACCAAACAGTAAACAACCCAAAGGAAGATTGGGTCACCAATCCCAGGGGCACACTGAGTCACAGAACGAGGAAGCAATCTGTATCTTTAAGTGTTCAGCCTCCTTTATGTAAGTTTTACAGATATTTACTTTATTTAATATATATAGAAAGTAAAATCTACCCATTTGTTTCTGTTATTTGAAATTCCTCCATCATTCATGATGGGCAATTTGCTCGTATATCTATAAATGCTTACAGAACCCCCTCCCCAAGCTGCAGGAGGGGTTACCCACTTTAGGAGATCAAAAGCAAACTCGTGAGAAACTGCCAGTCACTTGGCTCTGCTTCCAGATTTGTACCTATTCGAAATGGGTAGCAGGCCAAACATCTCTAGAGCAGAGCAAGAGTTATAAGGGTTGGTCAACAAGCCTTTGTTTCAGCTCAGGGCATCATGACTGTTAAAAATGTGTTCCAACCACTCTAAAGAAGAACTTTTCCAACTATTTCAGTCTGTCTAATAAAAGATCTCAGATTCACCCAAAGAACCTTGTCTGCCTATGCCCTTAGACCAACACAGCTACAACCTACACCCTTCTAACCAGGCAATCTTTTTAAATAAACTATTTTCAAAGATAACTAAAAATAAAGGCATCAAAATATCTGTAAGTGGCACAGTGCCAACCAAAGCCTATAAGACCATTTGAAAAAAAATTTCAGGTAGGGCTTGGGCTTGGAAACAATAATATCTTACACAGAAGAAAACAGTCAGGTAGGTTTATAACTGTGTAGCCAAAACACTCTTTTAGCAATTTTCCATTATTTCTGAATAATAATTTAGCAGGCAAGTCATTTTTTTAATTTACTGAGGTATCAGTGTCCTTGCAGTATAACATGTTAGCCTTTTTCCTTCCAGGTGATTAAAACTTAATAGTTTAACTCGGCTTTAAAAGTTAACCCTTTGATAAGATAAATGAGCTCCGGGATAGCAGCGTTTTCTGCTCGAGTTCTGCTTCATCAGAAAGATTTGGTGGATGGAATAAGTTCCCATCTGCTCTTATTTTGCCAGATAGCTTTCTGCAGGACTGAGCTAAGAGAGCAGCCGAGACCGGGCGCCTTCTCAGGTTTTGGATGATAGTATTTCTATTTTGCTTTTGCTGTGGCCGCCAACACTGGCTCCATTTCATTTTAGCTGCCATTCTCTTCCTAAAAAGAAACACATCCGAACAGATGCACGACACCACTCCATGGCCCTGAACCCAGTTCCGTAAATCTCCATTAGAAATCATCAGAAATACATTTTCAGAAATGGAAGATAAAGAACTAAAACCCACAACCTGCTTAGCCATTCAGTTGCTCTTCCTTCAAAGCTTACTTTAAAAAAATCCACTTATTTTACTTCCTCAAGATATTGTTTCAGACAATAGCCTCAAACCAGCACATTTATTAAATACAGCAGTACCTTCACAAAAGCAAGGCAGGAATGCTTGCAAAATTGTGCTGTAAGTTGCAACATGCTTATTTTCCTGCATAAGGCCACACAGAGCCTAGTTTTGTTTTATTTTGCTACCAAACTGCAAACCAAACTGGCTATTCGAGGGCCAACATATGCTAGGGTAATTTATTTTATTATTTATGCACCAGTATCCAGAAAACCTCAGAACCAGATCACAACTTGAGCTGGAATTCTAGAAATGACTCTTGCCTTAATTACTTTTAGGGAATGATAATTACAAGGCCCTCTAGTGCTGGAAAAAGCTTGAGCATTAAGAGAACAGGCTTAGGACTGGTCCACAGTAGGAAAATGTGCACTTGTTTCATGCAGCTTCCCTGCATCAGTAGAAAAAAAAAAAGAGACTTGCACTCATATATACAGTATGTGGAGTTCCTTATTTCCATATACACTGGGGAGCTGCCCCGCACTCCACTCCCTGATGAAGCTGCTGTCCTTGAAGCTATCCTGGGATACGTGTAACCACAGTGAGTAGAAAATAACCAAACCTACGATAAATGGGCCCTTATTTCCTATAGCCCACAGCCCCACTGGACCTAAAGGCCAGGCAATAGGAAGCACATGGGGGTGTCTGGTAAGTGTGGCAGTGTAGCTGAAATTAAAAGAAGCTAGCTTTGTTCCTGTGGTCCCTTGCTTTTAGGAAAATTCAGATCCCCAAAAAGCCAAGGTGGACCCTACTACGTTGTTCTCGTGATTCAGGTGCCCTGCAGCACCTTGCTGATCTTCGCCTCTTGGGGAGCAAAGCCTCTATTTTCATTTCTAAGCTGTGGTCTTCTCACTGCCCTGCGACTGATTTGCATCCCCTCATTGTCCTCTCTCCATGACCCGCTGTCTGCGAGGAACCGGCCCTGTCCCTTTCTTGTGTAGCATGTAGTTATGTCCCTCCAGATCTCCCCTCACAGCTGAGTTCAGTCGAATTCAACTAGGTGTCAGCCGTGTGTGGGCAGCACAAGCCCAAGAGAAAAGCAAACTCCCTCCTGCTCGAGCCAGGAGTGATGACACAGCATGAATACTCCACACACCCCAATTCTGCAGCCAGGCAGGCCAGCTCCCCAGCTGCTCAAAGTCTCTTTTCCTCCCAGCTGCACAGAAGATAGCAGTGGTTCTTGACCTTTTCTAGACTTCAGGCACCCCTGGGCACACTCAAGCCCCTCCTTGAGTATTGCTAAAGAGGCCCTTTGCAATGCACGCCCTTGATTTGCGGTGACCGCCTTTGCAATGCACCCCTTGCTTCGCAGGTGCCTGCAGCAGCTGCCTTATGTTTGGGCTGCAGAGAAATCGTGCTGTGGGGCCAAGCCCCCGCCAGCCCCGACGCTCGCAACACCCGCGAAAGCCCTGGCGCACCCTGCTACCTCCAGCTCCCCTCCCGCCCGCGCACGCGCCCCGCGTAGAAGCCCACGCAGGCGCATCCCTGCACCTTATGACGTCGGTTGCCCCTTGTGCGCCTGCGCGGGGGAGGAGCGCGCCTGCGCAGTGCGCCGCCGAGGTGGGCCCGGGCGGTGCGGCCGGAGACATGGGAGCGGCGGCGGCCGAAGCAGACCGGACCCTGTTCGTGGGTAACCTGGACCCGCGGGTCACCGAGGAGCTCGTCTTCGAGCTCTTCCACCAGGTAACGGCGCCGCGGGGGAGGAGGGCCCGGTCCGGTCCGGTCCGGTCCGGTGGCGCTTCCGGATCCCCGCGCGTTGGTGCCTCACCCCCGGAGTCCGGCCTGCCCCCGCCGCCCGGCCCGAGGGTTCCCCCCCCCCCCCCGACGTGGGGGGGAAGCAGGGGGAGCGGAGAGCAAAGCAGCAGACCAGGGTGGGTAGGGGAGCAGAAAGCAGAGCGGCAGACCCATGTGGGGAGGGAGCAGAAGGCAGAGCAGTGAATCAAGCAGGGAGTAGAAAGCAGAGCAGAGGGTTCAACGGGGAGCAAAAAGCGCAGCGGCGGTTCTGGCGGGGAGGGCGCGGGGCTTCGCTTGCAGCGCAACAAAATTCCCCCCGCATGACACATTTCGCTGCCGACGCGGTCCTCGCCGTGTGCTGGTTTCCAAGTGGCTCAATTTTTACTTATTTTATTTCCATTTCTTTGTAAGAGCAAAAAGGGTGGGTTTTTTCCTACAATCGCTCCAGGTTTTTTTGTTGTTGGGGGTTTTTTTGTTTTTATTTTCATTTAACATCTTTTGTTTCTTGATTTTTGCAGGCAGGTCCAGTAATTAAAGTTAAAATCCCTAAGGATAGAGATGGTAAACCCAAGCAATTTGCATTTGTGAATTTCAAACACGAAGAATCTGTCCCTTATGGAATGAGTCTGCTTAACGGGATCAAACTTTTTGGAAGGCCTATCAAAATTCAGTTCCGATCAGGTATCTGTGAAATTAAACCCTGTAATTGCTCTAGACAAAGTGGAGTGCTTCTCATCTCCGACCTACTTGAAGTCTGATCAATTCGCCTTTCGTTGATTGGATTAATCGCTGACATCGCACATGCTTTTTTTTAAATCAAATTGTCACTCACTTGCTTAATGGTCAGTTCCTCTGTGCAATGAAGGTGTGAAGAGGCTCGTGCACAAGCTTTACCATACTCTCCTTTTCGTTTAGCTAGAGGATGGTCTGTCGGTTCTTTCTGGATGCAATCCCCCCTTGTTTTTACGTTAACATTAACTTTAGTTTCTAGTTTTACCTTCTTTTTTTTTAACACTGCAAAATGTGAGCAACAGCTGTGCCGAATCACGACTTGATTGCATTTAGATGTTTGGAGATCCTCCTCCTAAATCTTGTCTAGTCTAGAACTACCCCAAAGAGAAACACCTGGAGGCTAACAAAAAATGTACGCCCCGGGTTATTTTAAACGAGGCCTGAAATGGCTCAGACTCAATTGACGGGGTATGTTTTTCACAAATGTGAAGTCTTCCTCACTCTTCTTGCTAATTGGCGAACAAGAGGATCGGCATCTCGTAATAGCTTACTTGAGAGCCAGACAGCTACAGGTAGAAAAGAGCTCATGCGTAAAGAGGGTGCAAGTTAGTGAAGACCAGGAATTTTATATTTCATTTTGTGTAGGGATAGTATGCCAAGGAAGTTTCAAGACAGAGAGGTCCCTATACCTGGATGAAAGTAAAAATAAATTTGTTGGTAAGGAAAAATTCAAGTGAGTGTTTTACAACAGAGTCTGCAATGGAAAAATTGCTCTTTTATTTTCCTGGGGTCAAAAACAGAGTGAAAAGAAACAGCTGGCATTTTCCAAGGAGTGGCCTTGAGTCTGACCAGGGGAAGGAGGGAAATTAGTTATTCTGCCAAACTATGGTGTCACAGAACATGTCAGGCTTCAGGGTAGCATTTTGAAGGCAAGGATGGAGGAGAGGATGCAACTATATAAAGACTGTGGAAATGCCTACGCTTTGTTAAGGAGAGCGATTGTGAGGCTTGAGAAAAGAATTGCTCAAGAAAGAATTCCACTACTTGAAAGTGATTGAAAGCTGGTTGCAACTTTAAATGCCAACACGTTAAGCAACTTGTATTCTCTTTAGGTTTCCGTGTTCATTTGTTTGTTTTAGTTTTTTCCTGTGTGGTTGTGTCTGCAAGGTTTTGTACAGGATACCAGATGAGAGTGTTTAGCAAAAGCATAGATACATATTTGTACTCAATGCCTAGGCTAAAAAAATTGCATTGAGTGAATAGTTTGGAATCCAGTACTCTGCATGTTGAAGTTATGGCAGAGCTCCCTTTGGTAAATCATTTTTTTTTCTAGTAGTGCCTTGCACAGCCCCAGTGCTGAGCTGGGAACTATACAGAGTAAGAACATCCCTCCTTGGGAGAATGCATAGGCTTCAAAAGGGGCAGGATTGAGCCAATAGTGAAATGAGTGGCCAAAAGCAAAAGTAACGTTTTCTTTACAAGCAAAGGAGAGCCCGCTTAAGCTTTTGTGAATTATGCATGGGTTATCTGTCCCGTAGCTCCAAAAGCATGTTCTGACCGATTGCAGTTAAATTAGATTGGCTGGCTGGAATGTTGCAGCTTGATTGCATCTTCACTACTGGGTATTCAAACAGTTGCAACACCTTGTTTTGGAAATCTGATTGTTTGTATGGCTTGGCGGATCACTGATGACACTCCAAAGCCAATTAAGAAATGCCTGTTGTTTTCATCTTCAGGCAGGTTCACTTCTGATCCAGCGGTTTATCTCATGAAATATTTGCTTCTCTTCAGGGAGTAGTCATGCATCTCAGGATGGCAATTCATCTCATTCCCCACATGGAGCCACTAACACGAGCCCATCCAGCACACCACATTCAACACCAAATACTAACAGGTAAGACAAATATTCCAATTAACAGCAGGTGCTTCTCAGATCCTTTTATAGCCAACTTAATGTACGAGAACTACTATAAGCAGAATAGCAGTTGTACTTTATTTCCAGTGTAAGCATCTCCACTGTCCATAGCCTCTCTACATCAAGCACAGTATTAGAAAACTACTGGAGAGAGAGAGTAAAAAGTATCCTCCCCTAATACCTCCAGAAAACCAAGTTAAAAAATAAAAAAGCTTATTCTGTACCTAACATATTCCATTCCAAATTGCCACTTCACCAGGTGCCTTGGACCATAGAATTTGGAAATTTGCCCTGAGCCTTGAGGGCACAGGGTCTTTTATTCCTTCAAAAATACCTATGGTCTTTTGTTGGCAGATGTGACTGAATGACCTGGTAAAACCATGAGTAAAATGGCTAGGTTTATTCTGAGTGGCCCAGGGAATTCTTCAGTAGCAAGTAAAACAAAAAGGTACTAAAATACTCAGCTGCAGAGCTGTATGTCTGGTCATCAGAAAAAGTGCATGTTAACTGCACCACCGTAAGAAACACAATGCATTCCATTTTGGATCTTTGTGTAGAGGCATGTTTATAACTAGCCAGTGCTTTGTACTGCCTTGAAATGTAGTACAACAGAGTTAATAGCTGTGTTTTAATGTCAGATCTGATCCATCAACTAATTACTTGCTAGTGTCTAACAGACGTCCAAAATGAAGTTTCAAGAGGTGGTTTTCCATAATGAAGTCAAGTCTTGAACAACTGACTCATGTAGCAGTGTTAGTTCATTCTGACTTGTTTGGAGAGACTCTGGGTATATACTAGCTTCCAAGAGAAGCCCAGTGATGCCTTGTGCTTTTGAGAAATTCATTGGAAAAATGGAACTTTCTATTCCAGGCGCTTTGAGGTGCCATCAAATGATGAATTGTCTGACTAGTAATGTTGAGCAATGCTATGTTTTGTAAATTGTCAAAGTACCTAACATAGAGAAAACTGCTGCTTCACCTGATATATAACCAAATATGGTCTAAATGAGACGGTAGCATTCTGAGCAACAATCCAGCCTTTGTTTCCATTTCTAACAAGAATTTGGAAGCATTTACCCTTGTACAAATTCTTGGTAGCCCAACAACTGAAGGCCCAAAGCACTGGTGATTAGCAAGAGTGCTGAAGAAATGTTGTGTTCCTGAAGACTAGTCACTTATTAAAGTCATAGATGCTTTCAGATCCTACTCTTACTGCAGACTTCTCCTTCCTATCCTTGTGGCTAGTCATGATGCCATTTAAGAAACACTCATGCCAAGGAAACAACGAAAGGATCTGGACAAAGTGCTGTCAAACATGCAAATTAAGCAAGACTAATATTTTTTGTTATGTGTTTTTGCAGTGCTAGTCAGCTAAAAATCACGTTACTAAGCTGCTGATAGCCCTGTACCTTGCACTATGGTGGATTTAGATTACTTGAGACTAAAATTCCTAATCTTTCTTCAGCAGATATGATAGGAGCCCAGATAACATGCTAACAACTTCTGGACAGAGGTCTTTCTCATCTCCTGATAACCTTCAGAGACAAGCAGTGGTATGCTGTTCTTTTTTTCCTCTTTTTTTTTTAAAACAGGAATAGAGTCTGAAGTTGGGGTTACAAGCAAGTGGATAGATGATTTGTAGAAGAGCTTTCCTCTGTGTACTTGAGGCATCTTTAAATGTTAGGCAAATGTTAAATAAAGTTCACAGGAATGCATCTCTGAAATGTTAATATACAGTTTCAGTCGTTTAGAGTACTGAAGTCTTTGAACCAAAGATTTCAGCTGGAGATAACAATGAACACTTCTAAACTTAACAGCTATTCTGTAAGTTTTCACAAGAGGCTCTGTTCAGGCGAGATGTGAACCGGGCTCAACAGAAGGACAAATGTAATGTGTTTGAATAAAACCACGAGCTTTGATACTTTTCCTGCTGTTTGAATATAAATGTCTGAAAACAAACACTCCTCGCTGTCCAAAATTAACTCGTGATGATTTTATTTTCTTTGAGTATAATCGGTTCAATCGAACTATACCTCAAAAAGAAATTGAAAGTTCCACTTTCCTCTTATCTTTTAACTTAGTCTATCAATTAAAGTTAAGCAATATTTCCTTTGTTCTCTATGAATCAAACTGCTGTATCACATTAAAGTCTCAGGCTGTGTGGCTGCCATGAGTGCTAGTGCATACAATGCCAGGCATTTCCCCTGATATTTACCTCCCATGGCTATTGCAGACATTGAAAGAACCTGTCCCAGATCCTGCACCATGGAGCACTAAACTGTTCAGTCAATCATCCAGTCCCACCAGAAGCAAGTACTGATTCTGTAGCCTCAAATCAGCTGGGCTGCCTTCTTGATTAGTCTTTTTTTTTTCCGTTTCAGATGAATAACGTTATATGGCAGCAGTCGCAATATACTGGGAAGTATGGATCTCAGCATTCAGATCAGTCTAGTTTTGCCGCCTCAAGCTACCAGCAGAGTCATTCATACAATCAGTCTTCAGGCTCACAAATGCAGTGGCGTTCAGACCCCGCGGCACTGCGCAAGAACCGGGCCAACTCCCATCCTTATCACACGGACAGCAGGCACTTGAACCGTGAGCAGCGATTTGGAGACCGTGGATCTGAACACCATTACAGAGGCAATAGGGACGAGTACAGCTACGAAGATAGGAGTTATGACCCGGGATCTGAGCATCACTACCGAGGAAACAGAGATGAGTATGGCTGTGAAGAAAGGAGTCGTGATGGCTGGAGCAGCGATTATGATAACAGAAGAGAGAGCTACAGAGATGGCAAATGGCGCCCATCTCGGCACTAGCAAATATTCAGTATGCTTTAAGGGACTCGATCTAGGGAAAATCAGGCTCTCCAGGTCTGATTGTTTTTAACTGAAAACAAGGATAGAGGAACATCACTGGTTACCTTTTTTAAAGTTTGCAGTTACTTCCAGCGTAATGAGAAAAAAAGTATTTTAATTATCATATTAACCTTTTACCTCAGGGTTTTATGAAAAGAAATGTGCCACAAGTTTAAAAAAGAATCATTGTAGTTTGATAGAAGTGAACTGTACAGCTGGGTTGTATTATAAAGAAAATCTGTTTGTATTTTTGTAGTGCAGTTAAAAAGGGTAGTCTATGCAGCTGGTGTAGTAGTACTTCCTTTAAATTCCATGTAGTCTGACAAACCGTGGCACTTTAAATATTGAAGACAGTGTTTTGATACTGAGACATTGCTTTATAATATTCATTGTATTGGAGCATCGCATTCAAAGAAATGCCCTGTAAAACTTGTGGTTAAAACACTCATTTTAATATGTATTTAAGGACTTTAATTATCCCACTTGTGCTTCTTCTGATGTATTTTTGTTCGAACCCTTCCTCTGCAGTAGCTTGAAATTTCTGTTGACAAAACTAGCTTTATGGATTTGAAACCTCTCAGGAAATGGTTGCATCCCCTTGAGTGATTTTTTTTTTTTTCTCTCCAACATTTTAAAACGTGCGTGTACATTCAAGCTTTTGTTACACAGTACACATCTTTGTTAATGATGTACAGATCCTGAAAAACTTATTCTGATGTATGCTCCTAATTTTTGTGGACTATTAATCGAATTACCAATTCAGGTGCTAAATAAATGTGGTCTGATTAACCTGAAAAAAACTGAAGTAAGTCTCTTTTTGTGAATAGTAATGGAGAGGCTTTTAGTCATGCAGAATTCTACCTGGTGGAACAATGTTTGAATAACAGCACTCCATTCGAGTGCCTTCTTGACTTTCTGATACATGAATTCCTGCGTTTCATTTCAGCCAGTGAACTTTATATGTGAAAGAATTCAATGGAAAGTTTCAAACGCTAGTGTAAAGCAGACAGTAAAAGAGAGTCCTCTCCTTTTGCCTTTGTCCCGCAAAAACCTACACAGAAAATAGCTTACTGGTGTTCTCAAGCCTGGTCTTAGATGTTGTTTCTGAAAGATTAATACATATATTCCACTAGAGCTTTTGTTAGCCACGTTCATGGTTCACTGTCTTTTAGAAATGCAAGATGCAGGTCTTACCTGAAACAGTTGATCCTTCCACATGTAACAGTATAAATGTCAGTTAAGATAACTAGTGAAAAGGTGACTAAACCTGTTGGAAGCCTTGCTTAAGATTTGCATTATGACCTATTCAAATAAGTTAAAATGGGTGCTTTTTGCAGAACAGCAAACATGGGCTATGGTTGGAGATGTTCCAAGATTAAAGAAGGGCCATTGCTAAAGATCCCAATCTAACTGAATGCCTCAGACTGGATTATTCAGGGTTCAATAATGGGATATGGAGACTAGTTCAAACCAACTAAACATCTTATTGCTTGGACATTGAGGACAGAAAGCGGCAGTCTCCATAATAACGCAAACTGAACGAAGCACCTGTTATCATTTATGATCAGAATTGATGCACTTGATAACTTTGATCAACTTGATAGCTTAAGTGTACTTCCATTGCCAGGCTTTGAGCTTACCTAGAATGACACAACATTGGTTATTCAAGGTATAAAGATGTGAAAAGAACAAGAGGAAAGTACGTTCAGTGCTGCAATGCTTTATTATTATTATGCTCTATTAATGCTAGAGGAACAATTAAAGCCAGCAGAGTATAAAATAAAGGACTTGATATGATGTGGCAAATAACTTACTCTGTTAAAATAATTCATAAACTGTTGGTATAATTGCCAAGAGCATTAAACGATAAACTTTAAAGTGTTATCCTTGTATGACAGTGAATTTGATTCCCCCATTTCCAGGCATTTGATTTGTACTGTAATTTTTTTCCCCCTGTGTGTCCTTTGGACCCCTGGCAAAGCTGATACTTTATCAGATTCTAATACAGTAATTCAAGCACAATAGTCAAATTAAAAGGACTTAATGGTCTCTTGAAATTAAAAAGCAGAGAATGAAATTTAAAACCAATGATTTTTTCCATGCTGTTTAATTCTAGAAAATTAAGCAGTTTCCATACTGGCTTGCTGTAGCTACTATTTGTCCCTAGATAAGTTGTTATTAGGCACTATATTCAGAGCAAGTGGGATGAATTCAAAAAAGGGAGGAAGGAGGACCCAGGAAACTATAGGCCAGTTAGTCTTACCTCAGTCCTGGCTAAGCTTTTTGAGAGAATTATCGTGGCACATGTCCACGAGGGGCTGGTGGGGAGATTATGCTCAGGAGCAACCAACACGGGTTCATTAGAGGCAGGTCCTGTCAGACCAGCCTGGTGGCCTTCTGCGGCCAGGTCACCAAATCCTTAGATGCAGGGGTAGCAGCGGACATAGTCTTCCTGGACTCTAGGAAGGCCTTCGACACTGTCTCTCACCCCATTCTCATTAAAAAACGGGGGGCTGTGGTGTCGACACCCACACAGTCAGATGGGTCACCAACTGGCTGGAGGGCCGCACCCAGAGAGTGGTGGTGGATGGGTCACATTTGATCTGGAGGGATGTGAGCAGTGGGGTCCCCCAGGGCTCGGTCCTCGGGCCCGCACTGTTCAACATCTTCATCAGCTACTTGCACGAGGGGGTAAAAAGCACCCTGTTCAAACTCGGGGATGTGGGCACGCTAGAAGGGAGCAATAGGCTGCAATCGGACCTAGACAGGTTACAGGGGTGGGCGGATAAGAATAGGATGGGATTCAACGCTGGCAAGTGCAAGGTGCTGCACCTGGGGAGGAAGAACCAGCACCATACCTACAGGCTGGGGAACTCCCTTCTCATCAGTGCAGAGGCAGAAAAAGGATCTTGGCGTCATTACTGATGCCAGGATGAACATGGGCCGGCAGTGTGGGGATGCGGTCAGGAAGGCCAACTGCACCTTGTCCTGCATCCACAGATGCATCTCGAGCAGGTCCAAGGAGGTGATCCTCCCCCTCTATGCGGCACTGGTCAGGCCGCAGCTGGAGTACTGCGTCCAGTTCTGGGCACCGCACTTTAAGAGGGATGTGGACAACATGGAGAGGGTCCAGAGGAGGCCACTCACATGATCGGGGGCAGCAGGGCAGGCCCTATGAGGAGAGACTACGGGACCTGAACCTGTTCAGCCTCCAAAAGAGAAGGCTGAGAGGGGATCTAGTGGCCTGTTACAAACTGGTCAGGGAGGGAATCAGCAGGCATTGGGGGAGTCCCTGTTCCCCCGAGCACCGCCAGGAGTGACCAAGAATAATGGTCACAAGCTGGCGGAGGGTAGATTTAGGCTAGATATCAGGAGGCGCGACTTCACGGTCAGGGCGGCTAGGATCTGGAACCAACTTCCAAGAGAAGTGGTGCTGGCTCCTACCCTGGGGGTCTTTAAGAGGAGGCTAGATGTACACCTTGCCAGGGTCATTTGACCCCAGTACTCTTTGCTGCCATGGCGGGGGGTCGGACTAGGTGATCTACTCAGGTCCCTTCTGACCCAACCTACTATGAAACTATGAATTTAATTTTAAACTGCATGCACTATGCAGAGGCCAGAAAATTACATCTTGTTTAAAACACATTGGATATTTGCTTCTCCATACAGTTTATGAGAATAATATAAACAGTTTCATAAACACAGGAAGAAAGCGCTCTTGTTTTCACAAGAAAATTAAATAAATCCTGGTGCAGTTTGACAAGACTCGGAGAAAACATGGGCAGTACACAGGTGACTTTCTCCTGTGACTAATTCCTCTGAAGCCAGTCTAGTAATGTGTTAAGGGAGTCTATGGCACGTCTAAGCAATGGATCAGGTTTCCAGATGCTCTAGTATCTTTTTTATAGCAGTGTTTTTCATCCTGTGGTCTGTGGAGCCCGCAGACTGTATTTAAAGGGTCCATGAAAGATAACTATGATCAGTCAAAAGTATGTGAATACCAGCACTTACAATTCAAAGGTGTCTGCACCTCTGTTCAACATTTTTTAGGGGTCTACAGATGAAAAAAGGTTAAAAACCAATGTCTTTCTTACAGCATTGAAAACAGCATTCCTGATCATTGTCTAGTATTACTTTCTGGAATAAAAATACTTTAGAATTGGTATTCATGGCTAAATTGCATTTTATGCTCAAATAACTCAATTTCTATGGAAAATGGGACATGATTGATTTTTTTTAAAAGTAAACTGAAAGACAATGACTCTTTTATTTTATGTCTTGATATTACTCTTAGTCAAATTCCAGCAATAGCCACAGGCAATAAGATTTACTGCCAAAAATGTTTTCTCATAAATCACATTTTAATAGACATGGTCACATGCCAATTTCATATTAAATTCTCTCGGCAGTTTTTAGTCTGACACTTTATCTTTACCGATTTCCTTTAACTTGTGTTTTATTTTATATCCAGTCTCCTGTTTCACAGTCGAGAGGCCACTCCGCGATATTTCAAGAGCAGGAGCTAGTACCCTGTGTAAAATGCAGCCTTGAGACATCTTAGGAACCTGAGTTATGGGTTGGCTACAATCCGGAGTGCAGCTCCGCGTCCCGGCTTTGGCTGCTTCTCGGCATTTCCACGTACAAGCTGCTTGCCCTTAAGCCTCGCACGCAGAAGTGGGCAAAAATCTCACGAAAGCGCATCAGCCGTATGGAAACCCAGCTGGGATCAGACAGAAGTGCCGCCGTGCAGGTAGCAGCTGGGGTAGTCGGCCTCCAACAAAAAGTGATTCCACCAGAGCCGGGGAAAGAACAGCGGGGAAAACGTGCATCATCAATGCTATATAGCTCTATATTTCTACATCTATCTATATGTCTGTCTGTCCATCTCTCTATATATCTATAAATATATGGATGAATATAGATATATTAATCTCTATCTCTCTATATATGCATATATCTCTATCTATCTAGATCTCTATCTATCCATCTCTCTAGATATATCAACCGATCT